CGTCGAGTCCATCTTCATAACTAAGAAGATTGCCTTAGACTCGCTGAGTTCTTCCTTGAACTCGTCGAGTACGATAAACTTCATAACCATTATGGACCCAGACTGGTTGAATCCTTTACCAACTCCACTTACTGATCCAAATCATAAACAGAAGGGTTTGGGTTTGCGACCCGACTGGCCGAGTCCATGAACTGACTCGCCGAGTCCACCTTGCGACATTTCTATTCTGTCGATTACAGTCCATTCCAACACCTTCAACCCATAGATATGGACTTCTAATGCTAGCATTACACGTAAAGTTGCTAACTTTACGTGCATGCAAGGTGCTATGGAGCTAAAACTCTTAATCCCAGCTAAAATGAAGGTCTAGGACATGAAATGGAGCCATAGCTGGATAAAGCTACCCACTCAGAGCTCCCCAAGCTCAGAAATGCCTAGATCTGAAGTCCTTTTCGTCCTCAAAGGCTCAATACTCAGATTGGCCTTGGAAGTGGCCCAAAAGTGGGAAAATACAAGCTAGAAAGGGAATCTAGATGATTAACAGCCAAGGTTTAAGCTTTATACCTTCAAATGATTTGCAATGCTACCCTAACTCTGGATCTATAGCTTCTTCTTGCACCACCAAGGTCCTTCTTCCTTCTCCAAGCTTCAATTCACTCTCAAGGCAAGAACTAGCTCAACAATGGAGTTGGGTGGCTAGGGTTTCGAGTTCTGGACTAGAGAGGCTGCAAATGAAACCCTAGGAAGGAGAATAGGATGCTTAAATAGGGTACCAAGTCCCGAAATTACGGTTTCCAAACCCAGACCAGACTCGCCGAGTCCACTTGCCGACTCGCCGAGTCGGTCATTAATCCGCGACATGGAACACGCTCTGACTCGTCGAGTTCCTCCTTAGACTCGACGAGTTGACCCCTTTGACTTAGGGTTTTTCTTTCCTTTCCGGGTCTTCTGGATTCTGTGTGTTACACTTGGTGTTTGAATGGATTTGTGTATGATCAAAAATATTGTTTTTGAATTATGTATGATCGATTGCCATTTGTTACTGGTTGTGCTTCAGTTCTGTGTACAAAAGCAAAAAAAACAATTTAAGATTTTTTAGATATTTTTCTCCAACTTTGAACCATCAAAAAACATTCATACGAGCTCGGAATGAGGCTTTTTTTTCCAATTGTAGTCCTTCGTATTATATATGTTTTAGTATCAAAAAACAACTTAATTGGCTAAGATATGGCTAAGTTATACAGCCTTAAACAGAGGTTGTTATGAATGTTGTCTAATATTTCAGCATTCTTTAGTTTTTTTCTTAACTTTGAACCATCATAATAACTTCATACAAGTTCGGAATGAGGCGTTTTTTTTTTCAGATTGTAGTCATTTGTCTTGTCTACATTTTAGGATCAAGAAGCTTATTTGGTTAAGTTTTGGCTGTGTTTTACAACCATTAACAGGGTCTGTTAGGAATGTTGTCTAATATTTCAACATTGTTTAGTTTTTTTCTTAACTTTGAACCATCATAAAATCTTCATACGAGCTCGGACTGAGATGATTTTTTTTTTCATATTATAGTCCTCTGTCATGTCTATGTTTTCGGATAAAAAACAATTTAATTGGTTAAGTTTTGCATGAATTATACAACCCTAAACAACGGCTGTTAGGATTTAGGTATTATATTTTGTATTCATTATGTGGTGTTATGTTTAATGGTTGAATTACTATTTCAAGCATCTTTTATGTAAAAAAAATTTAGGCATGACAGGGCGAAGCAAACACACATAGACTACTGAAGAGGATGCAAATTTGATTGAAGCATTCTTGGAGTTACATGTATCCGGAAAGTATGGTGGTGCCGATAATGGAGTCAAACCCGGTTATTTGAAGGTGGTGTAACAATTACTAGATGTAAGTTGTAACATCCCAAAATATGGTCCCAAAAATTTCATTTTTAAAATAGTATTTCCAAATATCATCCATACATACCAAACAAAACCAATGTATCAAATGTCATAAAATCAGAGTAAAGTATCATATGCGGAATCCCAATGGTGTGTGCGATGCAGTCAACCTGAGCTCTTCCCTTTGCAACCGGAAGTACCTGAAACATAAATTGAAAACCATAAGCACAAAGCTTAGTGAGTTCCCTATATTACCCCATACCAAACATAATAAACCACATACTGAGCCCCCGCCCGACATCAGGCCCCGCCCGACATCGAGCCCCGCTCGGTATACATATATGTTGTTCTCATGCCTCGCCTGTCACTGGGCCTCGCCATCTATACACATATAATCAATATCACATAATCATACTAACACACACACACACACACACACACTGTAACGACCAAAAATTTCAACCAAATTAAAACATTTTAATTCATTCAAAAACCATTAAGTTCATACATCTCGTTTTCAAAATAATTTAAACATAAGAGTTTCCCCCAAAACCATATCACATAAATCATAAAACATGAGGAG